ACACTGAGCACAAATTCACAATAAATGCTTTTGAAATGAATACTGAAACATTGGCAAGGTCAGCCAGATCATAAAGGTGTGTGTGTGTGATTGGGGTGCACTATTTCCATGAACTCTTAAGAATGATCTAAAATGTCCAGCAAGCATAAGTATCATTACCCTTATCTATCTAAAGAGTAGATTTTAGTTATATACTGTTTCCTAAACTTGACTGAATTGATTGTTAAGTTTATGCATTCTTGCAGCCACTTTTGTAAATGAAGCTTTTTTAAAGCAGGTTTGATTTGGCTCCAACACCCTTGGTGAAGTTACCATGCTGAAAGGTGATAGATTTATAATTATGTGATTTTTAATGTTTGCAATTTTAATATTAACATTTTATTTAAAACATTTTTAAAGATCTAAATTGATTAAAATATTTTTATTAAAACAATATTTTTATTATTCAAAAAATACATTTTTATTCATTAAAATTACAATTTAATTAATAGCAGTTAAATAGGTTTAAACTGACAGTCTTAGTATGCACACAAATTCCCTACAGATACATGCACCGACCAAGTTACTCATCAAAACACCCCTATAATTCTAATGGCCTGGAATTACCATGTCATATTTTTTGTGCATCAGTTCACAGTACCACAAGTATGGATGCTCCGAGAGCTGTGATTGGTCCACTGCTGTCAGTGCATTAGACAGGCACAGCTGGTATCTTCAGTTGTTTCTCTGGGTGTTGTCCATTATAATGTTCGTCTTTCATTGACTCCTACTGTAAGTCATAAGAAGCTTTAAGGCCATTGTTGCACGGTCAGAATTGGACCCCTGACACCCTTACCCCCACCCCTTTAGATTACTTCAAAAGACTGGTAAATTAAATACTTCTCTTTTCATTACCATTATAGATTATGTTGCTGTTGGCATAAATATTAATTTAAATGTTGTGTTATGCAACTATACAACTGATATTAAGGGCAAATTATGGCATGTAAAAGATATGTTTTTGCTGTTAAAGTAATAGTTCACCCAAAATGGAAATTTGCTGAAAATGTGCTCACCCTCTGGCCATCCAAGATGTAGATGGGTTTGTTTTTTCATCTGAACAGATTTGGAGAAATTTAACATTGCATCACTTGCTCACCAATGGATCCTCTGCAGTGAATGGGTGCCGTCAGAATGAGAGTCCAAACAGCTGATTAAAACATCACAATAATCCAGTAATCCAGACATCCGTTAACGTCTTGTGTGTCATTAAGATGTTTTTAACTTTAAACCATTGCTTCTGGCTATTAATATTACTTTCTCCAGTGAAAAAGTTGTCTAGTCTGACTTTGATGTTTTCCTGACGGCACCCATTCACTGCAGAGGATCCACTGGTGAGCAAGTGATGTAATACTTATACTAATACTAATAATTTCTCCAAATATGTTTTGATGAAGAAACAAACTCATCTACATCTTGAATGGCCTGAGGTTGAGTAAATGTTCAGCAAATGTTCATCTCTGGTTGAACTATTCCTTTAAGGAGTTCCTAATTAGATGATTGTCACTAAAACTGAGATTACTGTCATGTCAATGTGTATAAACAGTAAATTTCTTATGATTTTGTGTTGCACATGCAGTCTGAACAGTTTATTAATATTTTAATGAGAGTTTAGCTAGAATCTGAAGTGAAGCACTCTCGATTTTTCGGGTTTCACCACATATCATTCATAGATTTAGAGCGCCGCCCCCTACTGTCTGGGTGTATTATTCATGATGCAAAATGTACTATTGATTGATAATTGACTGTAAGGTGGCCCTGCTGGGACAGAAAGGACTGTGAGAGGAGATGGAGTGTCTGTTGTACAGTAATGACATTGAGATGCTTTAAAAGGCAAAGAAACACCTTCTTTTCTTTTTAAACATCCAGCCCTGAACTGTCCCTTGCGGGTCTTCCGTTAGGTTCCCGTGGAAAAAGCGGGTCCTCCCAGAAGAAGTGCCACCCCCACAGTGCGCCTACACATCCCGGGGTCCGGCCCCGCAGCCCAGGGGCCCGGCAGTCCCATCCGGCGCCCCCGAGCTGACTCTAAGAAATCAGGACTGCTCTCCAAGGGAAAGAATCTATTAAAAAGGCTTGGTGCTGTCAAATAGTTTCACATAACTCTCCTCACAGCAGCCGAGATAAGGAGGATGGAATTGCAGAGAAATTACCTTAGAAGGTGGGAAAAAGAACATTTCTCCCATCTTCTGTTTCTGTAATCACTTGGATTGGCCATGGAAAAGAGAAAGGGAAGTGGTGGAAACTAGGGCTTTCATGACCACAACTTCAGCTTTATGACATTGAAACTGTTCTGCAAGTTCTGTCTGCCCATGTTTGATTCTTAAAAGCACAGAAACGCTCACTTAATGTGACTTACTAAGATGTCTTGTTATAAATATACAATGCAAGGGATGTTCTTGGATAATAAAATAAAATCTATATTTATTTAATTAGAAAAATATTTAATTGTATTCATTTTAATGGACATTCAATTTATTATTATTGTTAATAATAAAGTTGTTTAATATTTGATCAAATAATTAATTAATAATTATAATTGTAATTATAATACTAATAAATTGAATATCTCTTAAATGTAATAAAATGTCATATTATTTTAATGTAACAAATATTCAATACTACTACTAATAATTATTATTATTATTAAACTATATTTTTTGGCACATTTTTCATCTAGACCTGCTGTTCTCAGTGAATAACCTAATAACCTAGCACAAAGTTTTAGGAGTTAGCACAAATATGAAATGTAGGTTTTGCTGTGACTAGACAGGGCTTATATTTCTACAAATACCTTGAGGGAAAACAGTGTGTTCTGCCACTTTTGACAGGATTTTTTTTTTAAAGCACCGACAGGTCATGAAACTCCTAGTGGAAGTAAGCCTCCTCATATTTGCCTTATTCAGTGCACAATGGTTTGTGTTGTGTCCAGTCAGTTGGGTGAGATTTGTCTGTGTTGTATGCAGTCATGTCGATGCTTTCCTTCTGATGAAAAAGGTGTATTTTGAATCTGTGTGACCAAGTGTTTTTTTTTTTTTTGCAATGGGTGTCAAAAGTAGGGAAGGAGGGATTCTAACTTTGTTTAGTCACTTTGGAAGGAACAAATGTCTATTTAAATGGTTCATAAATCCATTCACGTGTAAATTGTGCAGCTGAATGCAACAATTTGCATAAGAATTTTTTTATTTACGATTTGTTTTCACAAACAGGGCCCTTAATTTCCACTTTTAGCACAACTTATTCATAGTTTTACATAAATCAGTTTGGTTATTGACTCACTGATGCCTCTCTCAGCATCCAAATCATTCGAATAACATGATGCACATATTCTGTACTTGATAAGGATGAAGGAAATGAGCAATTGTGAATGTATGGCCAAGGAAAACCTTCCCGGAAACATTTCTAACAGTTCCTCCGTCTCCAATATGTGATCCGTTTCATCCAGTCTGTACTGTATTTCTTCTCCATACATTGTTCATTATATTTGCTTGTCACTTCAACCCTTCATTTTGTCCTGAACGAACATAATAAAAGTAGGTTTTCAAGGATGGACCGAGACTGCCAAAAAACAGGAATGTACGAGAAACATTCTGTATACCTTGTACAATTTTCAGCCAAAATTCCAGGCGTTTTAATTCCTCAGAATAACTGTTTTATTTATTTATTTATTTCGAATCATTTAATCATAAGATCTGTTTCAGAGCATTGCTTCTACATGTTTGAGTGACTGCTGCTCTTTTTGTACTTTTTGTCCATTTGTACATTCTTTTTAAATGTTTATACTTGCTTTTCAGACTGCCTTTTTTGTACATTCAACTTTATAATCTGACAGTGCAAGCTTTCCTCATTGTGTCTTCAAACCGTAATGTTTTAAAGTCTGCAATTGTGTGCTAGCTTTATGAAAAAGAATTATAAGCCTATATTGATGGTCATCAAATATTGTGTGAGTGTGCATGTGCAGTTTTATATCGAAATAAATTTGATATTTTATACACACTGTTGTGTTATTGTGTGTTATTTTATTAAGTCAAGTCAAGTTTCTGCAGTTTTACAGGTGAGTGAATGAGTTATTTTGGTGAGGGTAGATAAAATATAATCATAAACTTACGAAAGATGGCGCCAAAAGTACATAGTTGCCCGCCGATGTAGTCATTTAAAACAAAAAGGAATATAAATTGTTTTTTTTCCTCTCTGCTCTTTAATAATACCTACTACATTGTAAAGTTGTATAATCAAAGGTCTCTCTCTTAAACACACTCAAAAACAGTATAATGAATGATTCTTACTTGCTCTTTTTGCCCCGTCTTTTGGCAGAATAACAACCACATTTTCATGCACTTGTTTTTAGCTCGGCAGCTCTCTGCAGGTTTTTTTTTTTTTTTTTGGTAATCTAACCAATGACATAATTAGAGATATAATTACAGAATTCCCATGTCCAGATGCTCAAATTCTGGAGCAGAAAAAGTGGGTGGGATGGCACTAGGGATTACTTGGGTCTCGAAATGGGTTTAAGGTGGGGTTATTTTTTTCTGTGTATTTGAATTTCAATACATTGTAGCGATTCTCGTTGTCATTATTCATGTAACAAACTTGTGTAAATTAAGATGGTTGGAGAAGCACCATAAAGGTGACGTTGCCACGGGGTACCTGTTACTATTCTCTACGCTGCTCTGGATGAGCCAATCATTATTGCTTGAGATTACTGTGTAAGGGTATAGAGACTGACGGAACGGAATTCCTTTCAGATGGCAGGTACTATTATTTGTAATGAATAGATTTAAACCATAACTAATGTAATAATATCTACACTAAGACAAAAATGCTAATCAATGGGGGATTCGGCTTTCTTAAGCCCCATATAATGCCCCCTGCACGAAAACAACTCCGTGTCCCATAAGAAACAGTGTAGTAACATTGACCGCCCAAAGGGCTCAACCCACTGATGAGAGCGCGAGCGCGGCGCTGGTTCTTCATCAGAGCTCACACACGGACTCTGAGACGATGGATTACAAACTCTGAATTAAATTGCTAATTACAAGTGATCTTCATACCTGCTGGCATTTTGAACGTCATATTCTGACGCACTCGTAGGTTTTTTTTTTCTTCTTAAAAATATAGGCTACTCTAACAATATCTTCACATTGATATACGCGCAATGATTTTGTTCGTTTACCATTAACGGCGCAATATAGATTTCACATTTGTAACTTATTTATTGCTAAAAACGCCTTTGAAAACAATGGACTTAAAATACTGTAAAGTTCTACTTATGACTCTCCTGACCGTTCAGGTAAGATAGTTGTTTTATGAACAGAAGAAGCGTTGGTTTTTAATGCGGTTTTGATGTGGGTTTTAATGCAAAGTCACTTGATAAGTTGAAAGTTTTATTTCTTTCAGGTTCGTAGTGACATAGTATCACCGTCAAAACATCCAGGTAAAAGATCAGTTATAATTCACAGTTGTATTATTTTTTTTACTTCAAAACTAATAGAAATGTGTAAATCATTTAGAGCAAATTTGTTGTATTATTTATACAATAAAAGGCTATACACACATTAATCTTAAATTAAATTGAGGATGGCTTTTTTTCTCAGTTGTGTTGAATTTAAAAGGTTAATTTATTCATCACATCCTTTTCTTATTAGTATAATAAACATAAATGATCGTTTGTACTGTTTGTACGATTGAAACTGAATTTAAACGAAAATTTAAATGTTTTTTTTTTTTTTCAAAGTTCCCTTATTTGTAATGAAACTCTGAATACGTCACTGTAATCGCGGTTATATTGACGACGGATCGACATTTAACATTAAAATATCCGTTCACTGTCTATAAATAGAGACCAACAATAACACTTTCTGCTCCAAATTTGCTTCAAATCTTATCTAGTTTCATAAAATTACACGTTTGACTAAGGAAAATTGATTCAGCACTGAGATCATCTTTTGGCTGTTGTGAAATGTTATGACACATGTTATGAAACTCAGAAAATGAGGACATCTTTGCAGGTAATACAGTACATAATAGAAAATTAATAAAGAAACAAACTAAATATAGATAGATAGATAGCTAAAGAGTTTATATACACTAAAATAAAGCTTTTCTGAAAACAATTAAGTTGCAGAACAAGAAGATAAAACTTAGCATTTTGTCTCTTTGGATATGGATGTGTATGTTGTGCTCAGGCCTGCAGGTGCTGGCCACAGCTTCACACTACTGGCCCCTGGATTCAGTGGAAGGGATCCACAGCCTTTCAGACCAGATTGGGAACAGACCAGGTCATGTTAATGGGACTAATATAAGTATGTCACACCTGCTTTGTCTTTCTTTCTTTCTTTCTTTCTTTCTTTCTTTCTTTCTCCACAGCTGTTTAGCATTCTTCTACGGTCACGTCTTAGTGGCAGAAATCTCTGTGGCTTTGCAGCTGTCTTCAGTTCTTAAAATGAAATGATTTCCTCATTTGATTCGAAACTTACATGATTACCTCGTTTGTGATGAAGACAAAAGACTATGACATTTAAGGGTGTCAAAAGTACACACAGTTTCTCTCAGTGATTTACTAGTCCACTTGGATTTTTAGATAACTCTGAAATGCCCTCAACAGATCTGCTGAAAATGTGTGTGTAAGACAAACACCCACACGCCATTCCATAGCTGAAGTATATTCCCAGTATAAGTACAGTATGGCAGTTGTTCTGTGGCGGCTAATTCAGAACAAATGGAGGGCTGAGAGGAATTCTCTGGGCGCCTCAGACTTGTGTCGACACAATGTGTCCCATGTGCAGATCTAAAAGATATCTTAAAATCTGAATGCTTCCTTGAATGTTACACTGGGACACTAGTCATCTTGTCCACCATGTCTGCCTGAGTTTCTCACAATGTCCCTTTTTTCTGTTTCATGTCTCTGTGCTCATTTGTACATATGTCTGTTGCTGAATCACCTGTTTATTTTTCTGTCTCACTTTCTTTGTTGTTTCAACATTCTCTCCATCACAGCTGTCAGAATCCACAACCACACTGTCCTGACTACACATAATTCTTCCTCTGTGTATACCAATGACTCTGCCTACACTAACATTTCCGCCACTGTAGGTGAGGCTCTTACACATGTTCACTTACTACCTAGTACACAGTTATGGGTCTTGGGGAATAGTGTTAGGGGCCTATACATTCATGTAGACCTTGTATATCAGCAGGACATCATTAGGAGAAAGTAAACAAAAAAACTCATTTACATTAGGGTAATTGAAGCATGCATTGTTTAGTGCTGTTTAATCTGGCATTCTTCACTGAAATCAAATCTTTCGTAAGCTTTACGACTGATTTTATTGGATCCAGTGTGTTTGTGAAACTGCGTTTGAAAACCTTGTCCCATTTTGGAAATCTGCTGTATGTGGTGTGATTTATGTCAGTTCATTTAAAACAAATGTCCCAGCCAAAATTGTACAACAGATTGAATCAAATTGATCGAGCAGCATTGCAAGAGTGCTGATATTTAGTATAACAGTCCTGCAGTGTTCCACTGTTTGAATCCTTCCACTTGTCTTTGTTTGCTACATGAATTATAATTTCATTGGCGAAGCAAATTCCAAACAAATCCAAACTGACAGTTTATATATGTACAGTGGGTACGGAAAGTATTCAGACCCCCTTCAATTTTTCACTCTTTGTTATATTGCAGCCTATAGTTAAAACAGTAATATTGTGAAATATTTTCATAATTAAAATAACTGTTTTCGATATTAATACATTTTAAAAATGTAATGTATTCCAGTGATGGCAAAGATTAATTTTCAGCACTCCAGGCTTCAGTGTCTCAAGATCCTTCAGAAATCATTCTAATATGATGATTTTGCTCTAAAAAAAAAAAAAAAAACAATTGTGGAAAACGTGACATTTTTCTTTTCGGGTTCTTTGTTTTTTTTTTTAAACTGAACATTTAAAAAAAAAAAACAATTACCTATCATTCACTGCTCAAACATTCTTTTCAAACAGTCCACTGTTTCGTAAGGTTACTGGAGTATTCAAGTGAAAACTTCCTGTGCAACTTGTACAGTATTTATGATAGCATATAAAGACAGCATTATTAATATCAGCATGGCTTGCTTACAGTATGTTATTTTGTAATTCAGATGTCTTTTACTGTAGGAAACCCTTTATTGAGAGTTAATTTGCCTTTATCAAAATCTCACTGTAAAAAGCCACATTTAAGGTACTTCTGCACAATACTTCACAAAGGCATGCCGATACCCTGGATCTCACTGCATAGATGGATGTTCGGTCCTCTGTACCTCTTTATCTCTCTGCCTCCATTACAACTGTTGTTCACTCACTCCATACTTCAGTCTGTCTCCTTTCTGTCTTCTGCCATCCACTGTGTCTTCACTGAGCACTCTTTTCCATGAGCATCTCTTCTCCTAACTCATCCATTCATGAGGTGTGATGGTGCTACGGCTCCCAATGTGTCCACAGATCCTGGCTTTTTAGGTCTAATAAAGGAGGATTTATTGAACAAAGTCACTGCATTCAAAGGAGAACAACTTACCATTGACCAAAAAAAAAAAAAAAAAACAGACTATCATGATTCATCTGCAGTTCAGTTGTTCAGATTGGGGCTTTTTCATTCCCCAGATCTTCATAATTCAGGAGATCTGCTCTTGTTTTAGAGAATGGAGTAAATTATACTCATATTTTTACTATATGGGTGAAAGGTTAGGATTTCCTCATAAAGTCTCTAGTCAGAACATCACATGAACAAATGACTTTGTTGAGCATAAAACAGCTGTCTTTCCAGTTAGACTATCAATGAATATTCACCTAAAGTATTCAGTTTTGCATTTGTGTTAGATAAAAAAGGAAAGAATGTTGAATTAGGGTTTTGCATGAGAGGATTTTGAACTGTAATGCCTTCTGTAATTCATTTCAAGTGTTATAATCTTGTCGGTTGCTCTCTCATCATGTAGACATTGTAGAAGGAATGGTGAATAAGGGCATCTATCTGAACGGTGATAATGGGGCCACTTTCCTTCACTTTGGCAACTACAAAGACTCCTGCATAAGTGATCCTACTTTGTGTGGACCTGCCGGTGAGTTTTTATTGTCCTCCTGCACTCTTTTCTGTTGTTATAGAAGTGCATGAACATCTTTATATGGTCATAGATGTATGACAGTTGAGTAATGTGTTGCTCAGGTTATAGATGACGTAATAAAGGCTAATGGTTCAAAATTAAGTTTATATTTCTCGAGCAAATATATCAGCTTACATCAAGTGTTTTGTGCATGAAAGCTGATATCAGCTGTTATTCATCTGTTCACATCAGCGCACATTCCTTTGCTCTCAAAAATCAGAGAATATGTTGTATTTATATTTATTTTCCAGGGCTTGACCAAAGTAAGACTTGCAATATTGGTTGTGATGAAGCGGCCTGGATCTAATAAAGACGCTTTTGTTTAAAGTTAGATATCAGTACGTATTGGAAAAAGAGCTTGGTTTTTGGTTGTGGCCAGAGGATTATGAAAATCAGACTTAAAAACTTAAACGTATTAATGCATCACTCTTTGCTATTTATTCATTTATTATTATTATTTTAAAATAAGATGTACAAATTTACATCAAATTATAATATATTAGTAATATATTATAGTATGTTAAATATTATTAAAACATTATTATTATAATAAAGGAAAAAATAATTATTTTGAATGAATAAATGCAATTATTTGAGCATCAAATCACAGCCTAAATACTGTAAAGTACTGTATGCTGTATTATGTAGTATTATTTTTCTCAAAGTTTCTTTGTGTAATTGTGTCACAATACTTTGAGCTCAACACTAAAGCTTTATTTAATTCTTACTCCTGGACAGGGATAACTTTCTCCTTCTTCTGGAAAAATAATGAGGTAGATTCTCGTTTTGCGATTGCATCCGGAGGTAAAGTCATCTCAAGCGGTTTCTCTGTCTACTCCAACCCTCATGGCGGATACGTGGAGTTCTACACGAGAGGAGACTCCAAGACATGGAAAGCACATATGAAACTTCCAGGTAGTTATTATTTGAGTGTGTGTGTTTAGTTCAGGATGTGGAAAGTGCTTGAATGGTTTGGGGAACCATTGTGTTTTGCCTTATCTTTAAAGCCAAAAAATATTTCCCATGATCTTGAAATTTTGCATGCATGGACTCATTTTGAAATACATTCTGGTTTGGAATTACATTTGCAGTCTAACCGTAAATATTTTGAGTATGTAGTTTTGTGCATAATTGTATTGATTACATCCAGATGTCCAAACGTACTTGAGTCGATAGGTTTCAGAAAAAACTTTCTCTTTTGGACTTGACAGAGTGATTTAAATTTGTATCTCACTGTGAAAGGAAATGGAAGTTTGAGCGAATAAGTAGCTCAAGTAAAATCATTTAGCTGCCCGAGTAAATAATCATTTCTTTCATCTAAAATTTTTCAGTCATTTGGGGATTTGTGTCATTTCCAGAATACATCTTCAGTATCTGGAAGTGTTGTGTAGTGTAGTGATTATACACTGCCGTTCAAAAGTTTGGGGTCAATAATATTGTATATATATATATATATATATATATAATAAATGTTTCTTGAGCAAAAAATCTTGAGCATATTAGAATGATTTCTGAAGGATCATTTGACACTGAAGACTGGAGTAATGATGCTGAAAATTCA